CCCTCGTTCTGTTACTATTCCGTGTGAACATTTCGTCTATGTCCACTCTGTCAATCCCTCTGAGAATTTTATACGTTCCTATCATATCCCCCATCTTCCTTCTTTCTTCTAGTGTCGTAAGGCGCATATCCTTCAGGCGCTCTTCATACCCCATACCTCGTAACGCTGGGACGAGTCTCGTTGCAAACCTCTGAACCTTTTCCAGTTTCATTATATGCTTCTTCAGATGGGGACTCCATGATGAGGCGGCATACTCTAAGACTGGCCTCACGTAGGTAGTGTAAAGCGCCCTAAATGCCTCCTTACTTAGGTTTCTGAATGATGTTCTAACTTTCGCCAATGTAGAGTACGCTGCTGTCGTTATCCTATTTATATGTGCTTCAGGAGATAGATTAGGTGTTACGTCCACACCCAGGTCTCTTTCACGCGTCGTCACAGGTAGGCAGTTCCCCATCATTGTGTACTGTCCCTTTGGTCACCTATCACCTAGTCCCATTTCCATAACTTTACATTTGCTCGTGTTGAACTCCAGTAGCTATTTCTCTGCAACCTGTTCAGGTCCTCTTGAAGAATCCTACAATCCTCATCTGTCACAACTCTTCTCGTCAACTTTGCGTCTTCCGCGAACATCGACATGTAGGACTCTACTCCTGTAAACATGTCGTTAACATATATTAGAAATAGAATTGGTCCCAGCACCGATCCTTGTGGTACTCCACTCGTTATTGTTCGCCAGTCCGACTTCTCGCCCCTTACCGTAACTCTCTGGCTCCTTCCTGTTAGGTAGTTCCTTATCCATGCTAGGGCCTTTCCCCCCACCCCCGCCTGCCTCTCGAGTTTGAACAGCAGTCTCATGTGCGGTACTGTATCAAAGGCTTTTTGGCAGTCCAGAAATATTCAGTCTGCCCAACCATCTCTGTCCTGTCTTATCCTTGTTATTTTATCATAAAATTCCAAAAGGTTTGTTAGGCACGATTTCCCTTTCCAGAACCCATGTTGATGTTTGTTCACAAACCTAACGTTCTCCAGGTGTGCAACCAGTCATTTTTTCTACTTATATGGCTGTGCAGTAATTAGGTTGCTTTTTCGCTTTGATCGCAATATCGTTCTCATAGTTCCTTTCCGATGTTCGTCTTATGTTAATGTAATCGTTCCTAGCTCTGTTGCATCTGATCCTGTTGTCCTCTGTCCTTTGTCTTCTGTACTTCCTCCACTCCCTCCTGCTTCTCACCTTTGCTTCCTGACACTGTCTATTAAACCATGGGTTATTATATTCCCTCCTGCTTTTTCCCTTTACTGTTGGTATAAATCTCTCTTCGGCCTCCTGGCATTTCTGTGTGACTAGGTCCATCATATCTTGCACTCTCAGGTCTAATATGCTGGGTGCATCTCCTCCTCTTTCCCTTGTGTCTACCTTCACATGTTGTGTTAGGAAATTCCTGTCTATAACATCTACTAATTTTGCTCCCCACGTTTCGTCCCCTCCATGGGGATTCCTTGATTCGCAATTTATCTCTCCATGATTTAGGTCCCCCATGATCAGCAGCTTCGCTCTCATTCTGTGGGCTAGTGTTGCTGCCTTCTGCAGTTCATCTATGCATGCCTTGTTGCTGTCATCATACTCCTGCCTGGGTCTTCTACTGTTTGGTGGGGGATTGTAGACTACCAAGATCACAATCTTCCTCCCATCTGCTGTCAGAGTTCCATGTATGAAGCTTGTGCTCTCATTGGTAACCCGATTTTCCAGGTCTTCGAACTTCCATTTCTGCTTTATTAGGAGTGCCACTCCCCCTCCCTGTCTCTGTGCCCTCTCTTTTCTTATCACCATATGTGTGATATCACTTATCATATGTGTGTGTGTGTGTGTGTGTGTGTGTGTGTGTGTGTGTGTGTGTGTGTGTGTGTGTGTGTGTGTGTGTGTGTGTGTGTGTGTGTAGTACAAGTACTCACCTATTTGTGCTTGGGGGGTTGAGCTCTGGCTCTTTGGTCCCGCATCTCAACTGTCATTCAACTGGTGAGCGCGCACGCGCGTGTGTGTGTGTGTTTACTATTTGTCCCTACAGAGTATCATACCAAAATAGTAGCAAGGGGAAATATTAATATATGGCGACCGTCGTCAGTGTCTTGGACAACAAGGACACGCGCACAGACAGACCGCTGTGCTACTTGTACCATTGTTCCCCTCAGCTGCGGGCCGCTGCACTACCTCCGAGTGTCAGGTTATTATTCACCACACATCCTCGTCTTGTACTCCTTGAGTGAGGGGAAACTAGTCATTATTACTCAAACACCAAGGAGTAAATTAGTCATTGTCCTCCATAAGAAGGTAACGAGACCTGGTACGAGGGGAAGCGACCAAGTAACGAGACCTGGAACAAGGGGGAACAGTTGTATCTCACACTGCCGCATCAACGACACTCCTTCAGAAGAGGTAATTGGCAGGAAATAAGATCGTGGCATTGTATGCGTATGTGCATGCGTGGGTGCGTATGGGCGCGCATGGGTGCGTATGGGCGCGCATGGGTGCGTATGGGCGCGCGTGGATGCGGATGGGCGCGTGTGGGTGCGTATGGACGCGCATGGGTACGTACGGGCACACATTGGTGTGTATGGGGGTGCGTGCGTGCGTGAGGCTCATCAATAAGTAGCATTATTACTTCTCCAAGTGTTAATACTACACAGTGGTTTAACCCTATGTATCACCTCTCAAACTAAAAGCTAAATGCATTCCAATTTGCCTAAAAATATAATATTTTTGTTTACACTGCTAAATATAGCTGAAGCAGAACAGTAACGTCGAGTACAAGCTGTTACTAAGACAGAAGAGTTAGGGGGACATGATCACCACAAAAGGTCCTAGCATGGATAAGGAACTACCTAACAGGAAGGAGCCAAAGAGTTACGGTAAGGGGCGAGAAGTCGGACTGGCGAACAGTAAAAGAGTTGTGACAGATGAGGATTGTAGGATCCTCCAAGAGGACTTGAACAGGTTGCAGAGATGGTCAGAGAAATGGCTACTGGAGTTCAACACGAGCAAATGTAAAGTTATGGAAATGGGACTAGGTGATAGGAGACCAAAGGGACAGTACACAATGAAGGGGAACTGCCTACCTGTGACGACGCGAGAAAGAGACCTGGGCGTGGACGTAACACCTAATCTATCTCCTGAGGCACATATAAATAGGATAACGACAGCAGCGTACTCTACACTGGCAAAAGTTAGAACATCATTCAGAAACCTAAGTAAGGAGGCATTTAGGGCGCTTTACACTGCCTACGTGAGGCCAGTCTTAGAGTATGCCGCCTCATCATGGAGTCCCCATCTGAAGAAGCACATAAGGAAACTGGAAAAGGTTCAGAAGTTTGCAACGAGACTCGTCCCAGCGTTACGAGGGATGGGGTATGAAGAGCGCCTGAAGGAACTGTGCCTTACGACACTAGAAAAAAGAAGGGAGAGGGGGGATATGATAGGAACGTATAAAATACTCAGGGGGATTGACAGAGTGGACATAGACGAAATGTTCACACGGAATAGTAACAGAACGAGGGGACATGGGTGGAAGCTGGAAACTCAGATGAGTCACAGAGATGTTAGGAAGTTTTCTTTTAGCGTGAGAGTAGTGGAAAAATGGAATGCACTTAAGGAACAGGTTGTGGAAGCAAATACTATTCATAATTTTAAAACTAGGTATGATAGGGAAATAGGACCGGAGTCATTGCTGTAAACAACCGATGGCTCGAAAGGCGGGATCCAAGAGTCAATGCTCGATCCTGCAGACACAAATAGGTGAGTACACACACACACACACACACACACACACACACACACACACACACACACACACACACACACACACACACACACACACACACACACACTGATATTCTGTTACTGCTGTTGTTGTTACTGTTGTTACTGTTACTGTTGTTGTTACTGTTACTGCTGTTGTTGTTACTGTTACTGTTGTTGTTACTGTTACTGTTGTTGTTGTTACTGTTACTGCTGCTGTTGTTACTGTTACTGCTGTTGTTGTTACTGTTGTTACTGTTACTGCTGTTGTTGTTACTGTTGCTGCTGTTCTTGCTGTACGAGCTGGTAAAGACGATGGAACAAGAGGAGAGCCATGAGAGAGAGAAGAAGGGATCAAGAGGTAAGCTTCGTTATATATAACGTCCAAGCATGCTGGCTCTCTCCATGCTGGAACACTATATATATATATATATATATATATATATATATTATATATATATATATATATATATATAATATATATATATATAGATATTAATATTATATATATATATATATATATATAGATATAGGTATAATATATATATATATATATATATATATATATATTAATATACACACACAACCTCTCAAGGGTTCGAACCTAGGCAGTCATGAATATAATTCCTTTTTTTTTTTTTGCATGTCGATATATGATATATGATTTGATTATACTCAAATTGTCATCAGAGTCAGACTGATCCGTTGTCATCACCAAGAACCTTTAGCAGTTATCACCTGTAAGCCTCCCCCCTCCCCCCCCCCCCCCTCCCTGTAGACCCACAATACTGTGTGTGTTGGCACGCGGCTGAAGAGCCACGGACCTCTGGTGTGCACAACGTGTTCCGTAGTCCTTCAGTTAACTTTTACACAGGACTGATTGAACACTTGCTACCACACCTGTCACTCCAGTGTGTTAGGTCGTGCAGGGTTGCAACCTGAACCTGTCCAGGTGTGTGTTTGGGTGTCTCGTCTCCATGTCAAGGTTTGAGAGCATACATATAACAACAACAACAACAAAATTGATTGACAGTTGAGAGGCGGGACCAAAGAGCCAGAGCTCAACCCCCGCAAGCACAATTAGATGAGTACAACTAGGTGAGCACATGCGTCACAATAGTGTATGGGTGACAATGATTGTATATAAGAGATATAAACAAAACAATTTGGAATTTCTAAAGTATATGTGTATTCTCCAATATTGTTTCAGCTCCTGGGCCCCTCCTTTAATTGGCCAGTCGCCTAATACAATGGCTCTCAACCCTCTTGCTACCTTTAATAGCCATTCTTTTAACTATATGTAGGTTGTCTTAACTACATAACCATTCAGCTCATTCCACTTGCCCAATATTCAATCTCTTGCAGTTGCCCACTATTCCATCTCCATTGCTCATCTCCATTGCTCATCTGAATTTCTAATAAACAGTATATGCATATCCTATCCCTATAAATGCTGCACATTTCAGTCCTGTCTAATCGGTGTATGCCCTTTTAAAATCTTTTATGTCGAGATCATGCCTCCCTTCTATTTTTCCAGGATGTTCACTCAGCCTTTACCAGCAGCTGCCTGTCAACCAAACTGTATTCCCCCGTCCCTGCCGAGATACACACACACACACACACACACACACACACACACACACACACACCACACACACACACACACACACACACACACAACTCGGGGCCTCGTAGCCTGGTGGATAGCGCGCAGGACTCGTAATTCTGTGGCGCGGGTTCGATTCCCGCACGAGGCAGAAACAATGGGCAAAGTTTCTTTCACCCTAAGTGCCCCTGTTACCTAGCAGTAAATAGGTACCTGGGAGTTAGTCAGCTGTCACGGGCTGCTTCCTGGTGTGTGTGTGTGTGTGTGTGGTGTGGGAAAAAAAAAGTAGTTAGTAAACAGTTGATTGACAGTTGAGAGGCGGGCCGAAAGAGCAAAGCTCAACCCCCGCAAAAACACAACTAGTAAACACAACTAGTAAACACACACCACACACACACACACACACACACACACACACACACCACACACACACACACACACACACACACACAACAGAAACTGAGGATGGACAGAAGAGAGTCAGCTTCAAGGTAAAGTAATCGAATATAGATGGGATTACAAGCAAAGCAAGTGAACTTAGGGAAAGAGCACAAAAAGTGAATCCGAATGTAATTGCACTCGTGGAAACAAAAATTCTCAGGAATTATAACGAATGCGGTGTTTCCTCAGGACTACAGTGTAATACGGAAAGGAAGGGGAGGAGGAGGCGGAGTGGCCCTACTAATGAGAAAGGAACTGAGTTTCGAGGAGATGGTTATCCCATCTTATGGGATAACAGAAGAAAATTGTTATGACACAAGACCCAGGCAACAGTATGACAGAAACATCATGGCAATTAACACTATAATTGAGAGGGCAGCCTCTGCTGCCTGTAGAAATAGATCCCATCTACTCGTCATGGCGGACTTCAATAACGAAATGATAGACTGGGAGAACAAGGAACCGCATGAAGGAGAGGATACATGGTGAACTAAACTGTTGGAAGTGGCGACAAGAAACGTTTTACGTCAGCATGTCAGGGGAGCGACAAGAATGAGAGGCAATGATGAACCAGCGAGACTCGACCTCTTCACTCTGAACGACTCCGACATAAGGGAAATCGGTTCCGAGTCCCTAGTAAGAATGAGCGACCACAGTGTACTGACGTTTGAGTATCTGGTTGAAGAAGTGTTAAGGTACTCAAGGAAGGGACCAGATAACAAAGGCTGGCATTCCGAAAAGGAAACTATGAGAAGATAAGAAATTTCATAACAGATATTCCATGGATAACAGAGCTCAGGAGAAAGACGGCAAGGCCAGATTGGCCTTGCGACCAGGCAAAAAAAAAGTCAGGCAAGAAAGAGAGGGGTGGGCAGACTGCATATTTTGGGATTGCCAGAAAGCCTTTGACACAGTAGCACATAAGAGACAGTAGCACATAAGCTGGAGATGCAGGCAGGAGTGAAAGGGAAGGTACTTCCCTGGATAAGGGAGTACCTAATCAACAGAAGACAACAAGTCACTGTGAGGGGTGAGGTCTCAGAGTGGCGAGGCATCATATATGTAAAATGATCTCCCACAAGGAATAGATTCCTTCCTCTCAATGTTTGCTGATGATGCAAAAATTCTGAGGAGGATTAAGACACACGAAGATAGTAGGAGGCTACAACATGACCTAGACTAACTGAAGGAATGGTCCAATAAATAGTCAGTAAAGTTCAACCCAAGTATGTTAGGTAATGAAACTAGGAGGAGGAAACAGTAGGCCAGACACAGGATACCGAATAGGAGATGAAGTCCTTCATGAAACGAACAGAGAGATCTAGCCGCTGGTATCACACCAAACCTGTCTCCTGAAGCCCACATCAAAAGAATAACATCGGCGGCGTATGCGAGGCTGGCTAACATCAGAACTGCCTTCAGGAACCTGTGTAAGGAATCCTTCAGAACCTTGTATACCACATATGTAAGACCAATACTGGTCTTTGGATTGATCCCGTTGGTCGGTCCATCCGACCTGGTACATCCAGACCAGGTCGGATGGAAAGCTCTTCAACTTCGCCAGGCTGAGAGCCAAGAGGAAGGTTCGACTGAGTCTCCACGACTTCCTTCTTGCCGACGACTCAGCAGTCACTGCCCACTCAGCCGAAGACCTCCAACGGCTCATGACCCGCTTCAGCGAGGCCTCTCAGGCTTTCGGACTCGCCATCAGCCAGAAGAAAACACAAGTCATGGGACAAGGAGTGGACTCCCCACCTGACATCGGCATCTCCGATTCCAAACTGGAAGTCGTTCACGACTTCGTGTACACAATCTCCACAATCTCTGACTCCCTCTCTCTTGATACGGAGCTAAACAAACGCATCGGTAAGGCATCTACTACCATGTCCAGACTGACAAAGAGAGTGTGGGCCAACAATAGGCTAACTGAGTATACTAAGATTCAGGTTTACAGAGCCTGTGTCCTGAGCACTCTCCTTTATGGCAGTGAGTCTTGGACACTCCGCGCCCATCAGGAAAGACAGCTGGACGTCTACCACATGCGCTGCCTTAGACACATCTTGGACACCACCTGGCAGGACAAGGTGACAAACAACAACGTCTTGGGGAGAGCAAGAATCACCAGCATGTACACAATGCTGACACAGAGACGAATGCGCTGGCTCCGGCACGTTGTGCGAATGGGCGACGGCAGGATCCCCAAGGATCTCCTGTACGGAGCGCTGAGGCAGGGAAAGCGTCCAGCAGGCAAGCCCCAGCTACGGTACAAAGACGTATGCAAGAGGGACCTGAAAGCCATGGACGTCGATCTAGCTATATGGGAGACACTGGCTGCAGACCGTTCAGCCTGGAGGCAGGTCTGTTCAAAGAGGTCTCTCCAAGTTCGAGGAGTCACTTGCCAAGGAATCGGAGGCAAAGAGACAGAGAAGGAAGCCGGTAGCCAGGAGACAGACCAGAATCGGACTTCGTTTGTGCTCGGTGTGGGATGGACTGCCACTCTGGGATTGGC